CACGTGGGAGAGCTGTTTGCTTCCCATTCCCAACCAACAGTTACCTATGTGTTTAATGTCAATCACTTTGACAATGGACCTATCCTAATCTCAGAAAATCTATTTAACTGTTACCTCAATCTAACCCAGTTGGCATAGTGCTTTAACCTAACCAACAAGCAGTGTTGTACTAAAAAAAAAGTTACAGTTATTCACAGCATAGACTAATGATGTTGTCTAACTCATAAGGCTTTCAGATCAGAATAAAACACATTTAACATTCTAGACCCCAATATTGGATGAGTTTCGTCTCCATAATTGAAGGCAGTGTTCTACAAATACACTGCAACTATAACACCACTGCATGCTTAAAGGTAGGGTAGGTAAGTTTGAGAAACCGGCTCGAGATACACTTTTTGTTATATTCCATGGAATGCTCTTAACATCCCGATAGCAATGAATATCTTAAGTGCTTTGACAAAAAATCCATTAAAAAAATGTCATCTGTGGAAGCCGTAATACTGTAAAAAGCACGACCAATCATTTTAGCCGGCCCGGCTAAAATAACTGGATGGCCTACCTGCCTGTCAGCCTTCCATCTGTGCACAAACTTATCTCGTGCCCTCATTGGTCATGTGCACGTTCGTGTGTGTTGGAGGAGGGGCTCTGTAAGGAAGTGGCAGATTTTTTCAGGGTGTGTATTTTCAAATTCTAGCGATCTCGAGCCGGTTTCTCCAAAATTACCTACCCCACCTTTAATTGTTTTCAAATTAAATTGTTGCTTTTCTCAAACTCAACATTTGTCGTTTAGCCTCAAATGGTGGTGGTTTCAATACTAAAGTAACACTTTTCAAACCTTCTATGTTTCCAGTTCACATTTGGTTGCCTTGCTGTCTTATTACCCAGAAACCTCCTGAAAATGAGTTTGTTTTTTCATTAGAGCAGCAGAACAGTGTCATCCTCATTCATCTGTTTTTTCTTCCACTTGACCCCTCGTACCTTGCCGTGCAAGAGAAACAAAAATCCTCATGACTGATGGACCTGCTGGCTATTTGGACATCTGCCTTCTCCTTCATAGTCCTGGCAGGGAGAGGTCTAGGTACAATGTGACAGGCTTCCACAACATCGTGCACTAACACCCGGTAGAAACATCTCTGTGGCCTCAGCCTCAGAGATCAGCCATTAGTAGGTTGTCAATCTAGCAAGCGCTAACAGTGTTCTGGGCAGCTAGCAGTGAGATTCAGCCCATGGCTTCCAACGAGGAGGGAGATGAGAGATCATTACAGTCCAGATAAATTTAGCTCCTGTACAGATATAGTGTCTGGGCAGGTGCTGAATGTGGCACAATTATTGTCGTTATGTGGATAATAGCGTCAAATCAGCACAGTATTAAAGCTACGTTTTTTGACAGTGATAGTCCCAGAAGGCTGTGAGCTGCAAACGTTGGTAATATTTGACATTAAGGAACACATGCTCACAAATAATGAGATGATGAATGTCATGCATGTTGACATATTGCTCCCTAATTATCCTTACAGAAAGTCATTAAGGTACATTAGGTTTTTAGTATGCTTGCACTGTAGGCTATGTGACTAATAAGGTGTTACTTTCAGGAACATTCCTACCTTAATAAGACATTCCTACATGCATCTGGTACATATGTCTAAAAGCAGGTATATAGAGAGGTATTGTATAAGCAGGAATAACTCCAAATATATTCCATTTTGAAGGCCAGATGAGAAACCCTTGGTATTTCTTCTCAAATATATAACATCATATTACACATGAGTAGTTTTGGCTTGTTTATTTCCAAAGCATTCCACCTCTTTGGATTAACCGTGTGTCTTCCAATCATGGCTTTGATAAATTAGTTATTTTACATGTATGTGGATAGCCTTTTGTTTTGGTTCTTTCCGAGGGTCTAAGCACACACATACCAAAGTCAAGAATCTGTGTATTCGCACCTTTAATGGATTCCACTAACATCCTGTTGTCTAACTGAAATCTTAGTATCTGTTTTTACAATCAAAATCATTGTTATTTAGTAGTAATGAAAAATAAGAAGCACACATTTTAATGTTGGCTTACTAGCTTTTAGTTATCTGGGCATATCTGCAGAGCAGGGAGGATGAGAAAAGTATTGGAAGCATTCACATATTCATTCCGCGTACTTTTAGCAGAACATGTCACTTGGAAAGCACAATTGCGTGCTGTTGCAGAGAATAACGGTTTGCTTTCAGTTAGACTTCAAGAGTTGGATTTGAGTCTGTATCACAATTCATCAATAAAACCTTCAGATGTCCATGGAACTGCAGTCCAGCTGGCTCTACCTGGGCTTACTTTCCCTAAATGAGTTGCCTGAAAGGTAATGTAAAATGAGAAGAAAAGAGCGCGTCGTTTTAACTCAAATACCCGCTCTGTTAGATGCCCAAGAAGTCTGTTTCCTAACCAGATATCTGTCTTCAGCAATAACAAGTACAAACAAAAAAGGAAGCTCTTAATCTATAGTTACCCTTTCAAAAGGTGTTTGGTGGTGTTGAGATGGAATACTTTTTTTTATTTATTATTCTGTGCAACACAACGGACGTCACATCACACTTTTCATATTATTTAAATAATAAATAGTCCTTACTTTCTTGAATTATTTTTCTGCTTCCAGTCTGTTTGCTTCCTCTTATAATCCTCCCCTTTGCTTTTAGTGCGCCAACTGTACCTCAGCAGCACTTCCTCTCTGGAGATAAGGACATTTAAAATATGCATCATTCCAACACTCTGCTTGTCGTCAACCGACCGCACACAGCTCTGCATATTTCATCAGACAGGTGTACCCGGAGCAACAGTGGTATTGATGATTCACTATGGCATACACATTATACACATCGTTTTTTTTCCCTAAGTTCTTCCGCACTAGCTGAGTAACACATGCATGCATACCTACAAGTCCACATGAAAACGTTTGCTTGCTTTGGTGTGTTTGATGAAGCCTTGCCCGACATACAAATGCAAACACATTGTTTCCCTGGAAATCCAGTTTGTCCTCAAAAAGAGCTTAAAAATCATAGTCTTAAGACACATTTCTGACTTTGTATGAGGAATGTAATTAACCAAGTAAGGCACGAGTAGTCCTAAAAGTGAACAAACTTGAAGGGAACTCATTTATTAAAAGCTACGACCAATAGATTTATATAATTTAACAACGTCAATGATCCCTGGGGTATTTTATGTATATATTGCAAAGGCAATGTGTCACGTGTCACCGCCACATTCAGGCTAATGACTCTGTAATGGCTCCATCTATCCATTTAGCCTCATTGAGTTCTATGCTGTGCTCGTCCCGCCAGGTTTTTTGCCTAGTGGTGGATGCTTCAAACACTTGACTGCAAGTGGACCGTTGGAGAGCTGGTGGAGTTGCAAAAACTGTCTGTGAGCGCAATGGATGCAGGGGAGTCCAGACCTATTTGAATATGATCGTTTCTACATGCTTGGGGTTTGAGCTATGGAGATATAACTTAATACTGTACAATAAATCACCTCTGACTGGAAGAGAACTCTCTGCTCCATAGTTTCTCTAGAAATTAAACCACGTTGTACATTTTACTCCTATAATCTGTTCAATATTTATACTCCATATTCCATAATATATATATATATATTTGTATATATAATATCTGTATGTATATTTTCTATTTCAACATGTATATTTTATATTTTATTTTATTTTTCTTTCTATTCTTGTATATTTTGTAGCTTTGTGTTATTGTAAAATGCCTTTTATGCTGCTGTAACAACAACAATTTCCCAATTTGGGATCAATAAAGTACTATCTATCTATCTATCTATCTATCTATCTATCTATCTATCTATCTATCTATCTATCTATCTATTAAAACTGTGTGTTGTTTCATACACCCATGCCAGTGTAATTGTTACTATTATCATTTTTACTTGAACTTCTAGTAGTACTGTAGAATGATCATCAATTCTTGTAAAAGTAGTTCCATATTTAATTTTTATTTACTTTTTAAATATGTTTCTGTAAACTATGTCTCCATCAACACCATGGACAGCAACAATCATCATGTTACCCTTTAGTTGTCTTTCAGCACCATGGACAGCAACCACCAGTACGTATTTAAATATATTTTTGTTAACCCTCTTTGTCTAAATGCTTCTTTAGCCCTTTGCAGCCCAAATTTGGTCAGTTCAAGAAACGCAGAATCGCTTTATGTTCGACCCAAAACATCGATATTTAAGGATATCGACTAGAAATATTGAAAACAGTCTTAAGTACTTACTGAACGGCGCATGTAATGGTAGAGTATATACTAATCAAGTCGTTGAAATCCCTTAATTCATGCAACGTATTAGTTTTCTGTTTATTACTGTTCTTTGTTTCTATTTAGCTAATTTCAGCACCACGGAAAGCATCTATATGAAGCGTGCTTTTTAGTTATGTTTCATCACCATGGACAGTGTTCTCTTCACTTTTTTAGCTATAGTTGAACAAACTCCACAGAGCCTGTGCTGTATTGTGTTTTTTTAAAAGAAGAGATTAGCTGTGAGTCATTCCAAGTTTAAATTAACACATACAGTCACGTTGTACTTTATGCAAAGTGCACAGCCTACACGTGGCATAGTGTGACACCTTCTGTGCCACTCACCGCCTTCTCACTTTGTTGTTTTTTTATGAAAACCTCATTTACCGAAATCACAAAGCCCCTCTTCACCTTTGCTTCGTTTCCCATAGTTCCTTCGCCTTAATTGATCACAGTCAAGCTATAACCTACAGCCTTGGTGTAAATGTTACCCATCTGTAGAAAAAAGTCACGACACTGCCTCTTATCCTCAAACACCCTCAGTTCCCTCGCCTTCCTCCTCATCCAGACCCACCCCTTACTGTCTGCCATGACCGTCCTCTACAATACGAGACTGTATTCTTTGTACCTCCCCTTTCTCGCCCTCAGTCTGTGCATCCCAGCCTCCCTTCCTATATATCCATCCCACACCTCTCCAACCGCAAACGGCTCCTACGGTGAGAAAAAAAGAGAGAACAGAACAGTTTCAAACACGTCGGCATAAATCTCACAACCAGAGCTCCCCTTTTCTCCTTCCCCTCCTGACGGACTTCATTACTTTATTTCTCTGCGCACCAATGCCCGAGACCACGCCGAAACGAAGGATTTTTTTCCCTTGAGCATGAAAAGGATTGCCAAATCATCCGCAATCCAACATCACCGACTGAGCCACCAGCATGAGCACTGGATACATATGCTCCAGCAGAAGTTGTTGGCTCGAGCAATAACAAATCTTGGACCGCAAATACAGCTAAGAGGGGAGAGTCAGTTTTAGGTAAGTATCCCGGCTTGGACCTCTAACATTGAATGAGAGAATGTTATATATTTTTTTCTTCTTCTGTCCATCACTGACCACGAGGTAGTGATGGGGTAGGCAGGGCTATATTGTGGCACAATTATGGCGATGTTGCGTGGTCAGCATGTTACTGAGGTGGCCGGTGGTGTCCTTTTTCAGGATTGAGGCGATTTTGTTCTTTGCACTGTGAAGCGACCTTTCAGATAATCGGCGTGCAAGTCCTTCCAAGCTCCGCCCGGACCGAATGTAGACGGAGCGTTCATAGGCTATTAAAATGATATCATGACTCTTATAACCTTATTAAACCCATCATCTCCAAACATTATGCAAATGAGTTGTTCTCTCGATTAGGGTGCACTGATTGCGATCTCTTTGCACGTTGTGAGACAGCATCTTCCCGCGGTGATGCTGCAGAAGTGCGGATAACAAGGAGCATAAAACACCGGGAGAAACAATGATCTCAGAATTTGGGGTTGGCATATTACGCGGACCTGCCGCGGCTTTATTGAATGGCATTAGAGGGGCAACATTCATTCAGAGTGAAGGTGCATTAGCAGGCCTGCAGATCTCTGTGGAGTCGGCATCAATATTTGTGTTCAAGCTAAAAACGTTTGCAGTCCAGTCGTGGCTTTTTACATCCATGTTGATGAATTCGTCCCGGAACTGCATGATCCATTAACTAAAAGTGAGTGCCATCCCAGCTTAGATATTGGACACGGGATGAGTTGCGGTCATGCTTCCTGGTATTATTATGTTTTCCTCCGTGTTACGGCTGAATTACTGCCCGTATTGGATTCTGTGAAAGCAAATAGTCAGCTGGAACTGTGTTCCTGTGTACGTGCTGGTCTGAGTTGTACGTGGCTCTAAAGGCGCGTGCAAGAAAGCAAGCACGTATGCTGGTTTTATTGTGTGCGCGTGTATGTCACCAGTGAGGCAAAGTTGCCGTTCCCTGTTCCCTCAAGTTGCTTTGATTGCTGTTCCACTGACTAACTGCGAGGGGAGCTCATGCTCTTTTACACCAGGTGTCATTATGTGGCTAAAGGCAAGATATCTGTGTATCATACTGATACCAACTCTATGACATTAGAGAAGTGGCTTCTCTTTGAAATGGGTCCGGAAGCATTTATCTTTAACTGTCACTGCAGTTTTTTTTCTTTTTTTGTCATTGTTTCTTCTTTTTTTAAAGCAAGCCTAATGAGCTACATCCATGTAAAAACAACAAATATACTCAGACAAATAATGGCATTTATAATTGCAATGTAAAATAAAAGACAAAACAAAGAAAATAATGGCCATAATGCAAGAAAAAGATTTAAATACCACTGAAGGACTATAGCTTATCCTTCAAAGAGCGGGCTGAACATTTGTCTGTGTGGCCCCCAACTGTGAAAAATCCTGCATTCTGAATGTGAACTTTAAGTTAAGCTTTAATGTTTGAAATTGACATTATACTGAACACAAGTCAATACATCCTGCAGTATTGTTTTGCCTTCGTCTCCAAATGTGCAGAAAATTGCACTGGCAGCAGCGGAACTTGCTGGAGAAAAGCAGCCTTACTCAGTATGCCTCATTCAATCTGGTGGCCTTTTCATTGGCAAAACGCTGGCAACATGTAATCATTTTTTCAGAGGGAAGGCATTTCACATCACATTGCCAAAATGAAAATGCCAGCAGTAGCTTAAAGCTCTATTTGTGTCATGGCTTGAGATGACCCAGTGTTGATGATGCTTTCCAGGACTGAAGAGAGAACATTGAGCCGCAGAGGTCCTTTTTACAGACCTTGGCACTGCAACGCATGGATTGTCTATAAAGCATGTGACTTTGATTCTTAATAGGCAAGAAAATGAACACAAACAGATATAATAAGACACGGAAAATACAGTTCCTGCTTCCAACCTTTGCACAGAGAGCTGCTCTAGAAATCGTGTGTATCTTACTTTCAATCTGTCATTGTGGTGGATAGAGAGCAGTATAGTGTGGCAGAACCCACCATCTCCCCCTCTCTCCCTCGATGTCACTGTCTTTGTATTCTAGTATTAGCACGCTATTGTTTATACGTGGGGGCTGGTTGCAGCTGTACAGGCCAGAAGGCTGCCTCCCATGAGCTTTGAAAAAAAGAAAATCTGTTTTCATCAGAAACAAACAACAGGGTCACATAATGACATGTGACAAAATCTCTCAGAAAAGCTGGTGAGCTTACAAAATGTATTTGAGAGGCAGCTGAATCATTTGACCTACACTAGGGGCTGTTTGACCTATGTGCTGCTGCTATCAGTCTCGTAAGACCTCATGGATGCGAACCATGCTCGTATAGTATGATGTTCAAAATGAATTCTCACCCCGTAGGCTCACAATTAAAGGGTTGGTGATCACAAGTGGTTAATTACATTTTTGCACACCATGACATTCAAACCATGTTAAGCCTTGATTAACAATTCCAGAAGGAACATTTGTTTTTCTTCTTCTTCCTAGAACGGCCTCAACAAATCCTTTCTTTGAACCCCCATGCACAGAACATGGAAATATTGAATTGAGACAGTGAGAACTCAATCATAGTTGTAACAGTGATTGTTGCATCCACTGCTCTTTTCCATCGTTGTCAGTGACTAAAGCCACACATTTGGGGCTCTGTGTGAAGCCTCGGGGGAACTGAAAGCAGGCTCAGAAAAGCATCACAATAGTGACAATTGTATTGTTACAAACTATTTAGACATTCAACACTCACAGTTTGTCATCTGAATGCAGCGGTTTCTGTCCAGTCTCCAGTTTATTGCTTTTTTTTCTTCCTAACAGTAGGGTACCACGTCTGAGTGTTTGTGAATGAGCATAAGCACCATTTTATAATACAATCAAGAAATAAATTGCTCATCAAAAGTTAACCAACCAGAAATTAATTATTTATCAGAGAAATATATAAATGCACTTCCAATTCCTGAAAGCAAAGCCTATTGTTGGCTTGCCCCTTGACTGCTGATGAATCAGAATATGATGTTACGTAAAAATCATTAATTATTAAGTTCATTTGGAGGAGCTGCAGTTCAAGAGTTTTGCAGTGGAGTTAATCTTTTTGCAAGATTTCTTGGGGTTTACCATTAAAATGAAGGAGAAAACCACTTATTTCGGCTTTCAAATGAGCACGATCAGACCTTGCATATTTGGTTAAAAATCTAAGTCCTCTGCAAATGATTCATCTTGACCTAACATTTGGTGGTTGCCATGCAAGAGACACAAAAGTGATGCTAATTTGAGCCTCTGGAAACCTTGCCCCTGTTTTATTAGGCAGTTCCAGGCGGCTCAGTTATTACTCCTTAAAATACGATATCTATGACAACACAGTTATAATATCAGTCATTAATCTGGCACGACACAGCCATGTTCTTTCCTTGTTTGGTGATGGCTGTCCGTTTGGACGGTGTTGCCGTGAGTAAGAGAAGGAGAGGAAGAGATATGTTTTGATTTGCTGTGGTCTTTCACATCAATGAACAATAGAGGTCTGCACTGGCCGGCGATTACACAGAGAACCTTTTAACTTCATTTGCTTCACTGTTGCCTCCCATATTCCCTCCAGCAATGTAATTTGATCTGTTCCAGTCTAGAAGTTGTGTCTGAGATATCCTAATCGAAATACTGTCTTCTCAGTCGTAATATATCTTCGAGCCCAGATTCGTATAGAAATGAAATGCAGCTGTGACCAGGACTTTGCAATTGGCAAATCGGTTGCAGACATTCTCTTTTCCACCTGGATCTGTTTGGTAATTGTATGGGTAGCCAAAGCATGAACACACCTGTGGGGAAAATGTAATACTGCGGGGATCATGTTCTACATCAGCATGTCTGGTTGATATGTTATCCATGTTACATATATCTATATATATCTACAAAACCTATACACCCAACATATATGTGTAGGCTACTGTTCACACTCAACATGTCTTACTATTATAATCTACACTATCCATTTTCCGGCAACTAAAGCATGAGGAAGATATCGTAAAAGTTGCTCCCAAATGCATCATCACAGATGCAGCAAGCTGTTTTTAGAAAAAAAAGAGATAAGCCCACTATACACTGTAAGCTACCTGCCTAGCACTTAACGTCAGACAACGATTGCGACTAAATGGTAAACACAGTGAAGGATTTAGCAGCTAAAGAGCCGGATTTGTCTGCTCAACGCGTAAATAAGCCGACTAACATTTTTTGCCATATCAACTTTGTAAGTGTCTTAATATGACAGTGTTATATTTACAGTTGGGCGTTGCTGCCAAGTGGCCATGACAATCTTAATCATAGGTTTAAGGTTGATATGATTTTGATAAATGTTAACCCAATTATGTTGTAGAGTCGTCTATCACACAGACAGTTCACACATTGTAATTGAGTTGCATGTAATCATCATTGGTCATGTGCCCAGTACATCATGCTACTAGAAGAAAACTATGGTGTAGTTACTTCATTTTTATGGTTTCTGCCATTTTGCTCAACATTGGAACTCAACACAATAATACATAGCCAGTCTGCTTTGGGCGCCCTGTGTGAATGATTTCCTTCTAGCCTCATGCTTCAACAAAGTCAGTTCTCAAAGTTCTTTACACTTCTGTGGCACACATCCAGCTGGTTGGTCATAACTCAGTGTGATTGTGGTGGTTACAGCTTCTAGGAGGGTGCCACCGCGCCGACAGCGATTTCCAGGGTGCACACTGAAAACTATAGCTCAGATACACCGGTGATTTTCAGCATGGTAACTCTTTTGTTACGAGTTGCATTAGTGGCATATGTTATCTCTCTTTCCTCTTCTAAAAGTAGTCATGAAGTGAAGACATTGACAATAGATGGGTCATTTGACAAGTGATTGAATTGGTTGAATGATTTAGCCCAAACAAACTGAAAAGCGCAAGTTAATTACAAAGTATAAAGTTTTCACTTCAATCAGACGTCTGGCTTACTTCCGATTGTCAGCATTGGGTTCATTATTGTATGCT